AATGCAATCATTGCCATCTAGAGAAGCCAAATGAAAGATGAATCGCAAAGCCTCTTTTCTCCACCTGCTTAGATGTAAAGCAGAGAGCCTTGGTGCAATAAGACCGCAAAGCCAAGCTGATATGAAACTTAGCTGGTTTCATCCACAGTGAAACTGACCTGTCTGACAGCGCGTCTGCATCTGTGTCTGTCTATATCACCCCCCACCTCCCAAAAAAAAAATTCTTATGAAATACCTGCTGGAAATTATGTCAGCACATCAACGAACAAACGTGCAACATTGAATGTGGTTCAATACAAGAGCTGCACTGAAAACAATCCTCTCTTCACAAGGTTCACTTCAAATCCATTGTTGATGCTCCCAACGTAAAGATATCCCCAATATCCAATTATAATATTGAAAATGTCACATATGGTGTAGTGATTGACTTGGCTAGCTTCCATTTGCGGCAGCGTGGGTTTAGCTCAGCTCGACTCAATACTCTATTGCTGCTTCTAGCTCATATTAAATGATAAACTGAGCCTAATTCAATATCGCAAGCTTTCCTACATGAATCATGATGCAAATATTGGTGGGGTCATGGCTCACCGGTAGAGCAGTTGTCTCCCACCCAGAAGTTTTGGGTTCGATCCCCTGCTCCTGTGACCACGTCGAAATGTCCTTGAGCAGTATATTGAACCCTCGATTGATCCTCATGCTGCTTCATCAGTAGGGGGATGAGGAAACAATGTTAAAGTGCTTTGGGTGCCTTGTCAGTGGAAAAGCACTATTTACTGTCATACTGTATATGTGTAGTACTTTGTGATCCTGGATGCAAATTGATCCAAATGGTAAACACTCACTGAATCTCAGCATGAAGGTAAACCAGCTAACCATTTTGTAAGCTCAAAACAACTCCTTTTAGATATTAGTTGTTGAATGTGGAGTAAAGCAAGGCTTCACACCTGACTTCCAAACTTTGGCCTGAGCTGAATTATCATCACCTATCTCGCAATTCCTCCTGTGTTGGCTTGCACTCTCCTCCTGTCTCTCAGCCCATAGACCCCCCACCCCACCCTCCCCACCCAACTGCTTCCTTGTATGCAACTAGACATTCTTGACATTTTGCAAAGGTTGAAAGACAAAGAACCTTTGTGTCCTAATAAGGCTGCACTCTGTACTCTACCTGAATCAGAATATTGTAGAATAATGACAGAGAGGGTGTGCGTGTGTGTGTGTCTGGGGTGGGGGGGGGGGTTGTTTGTGTTACAGTGGCTGATCATACAACAACCTGAGAAAAAAAATGCAAATTAGGTTTCGATGTTTTTGGTGCTTAGAGTATATGCTGCGCGCATATATACCGTAATTTCTGGACTATAGACCGCACCTGATTATAAGCCGCACCACTACATTTTTAAAGGAAAAAAATATTTTGTACACACATAAGCCGCACCTGTGTATAAGCCGCAGGTGCCCATATTGTAACATGAGATATTTCCAAAGAAAGACGGTACACAGGCGGCCGTTAGAAAAGTCTTTATATAAGCCGCTTCATGAAATAAGCCGCAGAGTTGAAAGCGTGTGACAAAAGTCGCGCCTTATAGTCCGGAAATTACGGTAATTGGGTATCATCATCGAAACAATGAAAACTAATAGACACACACACACACACACACACACACACACATGAGTATGTGTTGATTTACTTCGAGCTGGTGTTTAAACAGTCGTCCTCAGCATGCTGGTCACCTCTGTGCACCGTACTTGTAATCAATGGCAGTCGAGCGCCACCCTTATACCACATAGAAGACTGCTGTTGCTTGTTGTTGTTTTTGTTGAGCAGTTACGCCTTGGGTAGAAGCGGAGTACAGAGGGAGAAAGAAGAAAAAAAAAACATCTTTGCATAGCTGTGATTGGAGACTATTCTTTTTGCCTGACACCATGTGAAGGTGGTCCCCAAAGTCGAAGATGCTGTTGATGGTGTCCTGGCGGTTACGTGTCAAAAAGTGCTCCAAGTTATTTAGGTACCCTTTACAAGTTTTGACAATGACAATGTCTTACTGTGCCAAAAGCTGCAGTATTCCCCGGTGGAATTGGGCAGTTTCGAGGCTGATTTGAATGCGACTATAGTGTGAGGATCCCAACAGCACACACCCCTATGCCTCGCCTTCTGTCAGTCAGTCAAGCAGACAGACAGATGTTCTACAAGTAAGCGATATCCCGCGTCATTGCAGGAGCTCCAAGCGAAACTCTCAAGCACCCAAGGTCCTTGTGGTCTCTTCTCATCTCTCGCTCTCATCCATCACATCCCTCAGCTCTTAGCCCTCGCCTCCCTCTTTGCTTCCATCAATCTCTCTTGTAGCTTATTCCTCCTCATTTTCCCGGGAAAAAAGTCCTCTTTTGACAGCTACAGAGAGTGTGCTTAGCGAGTGTAAGCAAGAACAAGGAGTGTGCTGGCATGCTAATGTTTAAATCATCAGTCTGGTAGCGGAACAGCACCTTTTAACCTTGAACAACCTGAAGCCCTGTCTTGGTCGTTCATGTTGCCTGATGTAGCTGCTACTCCGAAGTATCTACCTTTTTCCCTTCACTTAACATCCAACTGTGGTCCTGATTTACACACCAAACATTGTTTGATCCGCAGTTTTAAAGGCAATGCAGTTTTGTAAAGGCACATTAATACAAGTGAGAACACCACCCTGTCCCGCTGTCGTCTCAGCATTACAATTACATGAGTAAAAGGTAAAAATATCCAGATTTGCCTTTTCCCAGGAGTCGGTGTGGTGTTGACACAGGGCTCATTAAAGGCAGGTTCTTTGTGTAATTGTTTCTTTTTGTCCCCCTCCCACCATGTTTCTTGATTTCTGTGTGGGTTGTCTGTCACTCACTGGGATGGAGGCAGATACGGGATCATATTCAGACTTCCAGATTCAATCTGTTTACGACTCAGGAGCCAATATTAGCCACACCATCGTCGTTTCACTCATGAGCCCCGTTGCCTTGGATACGTTGCATAAGAGAAAGATGGAAAAGTGCGTGCCCCTTGCTGATTGGAAGACAAGACGGCAGGTCTCACTTTTTCTTCACCACGCTTAACTGGATATGTCAAAATACTGCAGACCCCAACGCTCACCTGATAACACGTCACATTCAACTCCACAAACAAAAGATTAATCTGCCAATAGGTATATTCCTGACAAATTAAAAATCCTGTTGCAGGAATGATTTCTCGCTCAATTTCAAAGAGTCTTGTTTATGTCACTCTTGGTTGCGGGTCATGGGTTATTTTTTTTTTTTGTGTGTGTTGGCTGCACGGAGACCACATTTAATGATCACTGGGATTGTCCTTCCGTGGCTTCCATATTTCAAAGGCCGTAGCGGGAGGGCAGCTTGAGAGTGAAAACAGACCTTGGTTCAAGAGACAGCACCATTTATCTCCTCTCCTTTTTATTGCGCAGTACTCTGTGTCGTCTTTTAACAAAATATGGACTGAACAACAGCCTTAAAATCAGCATGCTTGATTTCTCCAAAATGAGAAAATAGTTGGCCTGACTGTAAGGGTCAACTAATGTCCAGTGCCTCTGTGGGCTGTGCTGTTAACACAAGCGGACTTCTTGAACAATGTTCATGTTTTACAGTTTGAAGCAAGGCAAGAAAAGAGCAGGGCAGGCAGGCCTCTGTATCTATCCACGTGTGTAGCAAGCACCATCTGCTGCATTTATTCAGGCAGGAGTGGAAATATTTGGTTGATTAGGAGCAAATCTGTTTGATAGAGCTGCCTTGTTACCGCCACTTAAGTGCCGCCAACTGGTGTTCTGGAAAACAAACGCAACACCAATAACAAAACTACAGAAAGAACCATTTGAAATAATATGACGCTTACTATTTATATTGTGAGACCGAAATTGTTTAATCTTAACGTTCTGTTTGAGCTTCACTGCTAACATGGTCTATGATACAGAGTAGTGTTGGATGCAAAGATCAAACAGTTTCACTGGTAATAAACATAATTTATGAGATGACTCCCTTCTTGGCAATCTGAGGAAAATTCTGTGTCATAAATGTTTACACAAATACAGCTGATAAATAATGTCTCCGTACCCCTGTTCAAATGCCTGTTTTTGGCAATAAGTAATTGCAAAACATTTTCCACCATTAATATGAACAATAACATGTCCAACACCCTAAAAAATGAACACCTGAGATTATGTGGATACGCGCTGTCTTAAAGTCTGGAAAAATAAAGAGACCACTGCAAAAATCTCAATTTCTCAGATTTTTACTCTTCAAGGGTATGTGTATGAATAAAATGAACAATTTTGTTGTATTCTATAAACTACTCACAACATCATTCCCTAACTCTAATTACTTTGTTGAAACTAACCAATCACGTTCAAGCTCATTTTCGATGTGAGTCAGCACACACCGGTCATCGTTTGGAGCCTCTCTGAAAATCCCAAAATTAATAAATTTCAGCTATTCAAGTTGGCTTTTCCATCTCCCCTTTTATACTCCTTGACAGACTTTCCACCATTGCTTTTTCAAAAACTTCTTTTTCCTGTTTCAATAAGCATCTCTCTAATTGGTCTCACTTTAGTCAACTCAAAAATTTCATATCCCAACATTCCCCAGTCAAATCTGGTGTTCCTCAAGGCTCTTTTCTTAGCCGTCTTCTCCTCATGATTAAATCTTCTGAAAATTCACTATTCAATGTTGTGTGGATGACACCCATCTCAATACTGTATGTCCTACAAACCTAACAAATCCCTTTGCCCATTCTGCCTCTCTGACTGCTTTACAGATATCAAAATCGGTGTTGCTCTCAACTTTCCCAAACTAAACAGTATTAAAACTGTGCTTCTGCTGAGCAGTTCTAAATCCACTTTGTTTTGTTTTTTTTTTGTTTTTTTTATAGACACAAAAACCCGTTATTTGAACAGCGGTGTGTGGACTTTTTTATTCAGTGTGTATGTACCAATATCATACATCTTATTCATGTAAACTTTTACATGTGCTTCCAGGTGCAGATCTTGGTGGTCTAATGGATCTGGAGTCTCTCTACAGAGGCGTGGAACAGAGCATCAACAACACCCGAGCAAGACGCGCTCGCAGGCAGAGCATGGACCGGGCCTACAACATTGAGGTTCTGCTGGGCGTCGATGACTCTGTGGTCCAGTTTCACGGGAAGGAAAATGTCCAAAAGTATCTGCTGACGCTCATGAACATAGTACGTGCTGCTCACGCAAATATGGGACGTATCCTCATATGCACTCATCCCATCCAGGTTGCCTGAATTCTCAAAGGTGACATTGCTTCTCTTCCATCTCTTCGTTGAATGAAAAAGTGTTCTATTTGAGTTGAACAGGAAGTCACGGGGAGGTCAAAGAATGCTGTTAGCACACACATACACACACGCATACAGACAACAACTGAATGAGGATTCAATTCCCATCCCGCATGTTCTCATCGAGCAATCAGCCACGGGTAATCCTTTCTTCTCCATGTGAATATGAGATTTCAGACGTGTGTGTGTGTGTGTGTGTGTGTGTGTGTGTGTGTGTGTGTGTGTGTGTGTGTGTTTAATGCGAGGTGAGCCCTCTGCTCCGGAGGGGCGACACGGCATTTCATCAGGCTTTTTGTCCTGTCACCCCTCACTGTCCTCATGTCATCTCTTCCTGGTGTTTATGCATATGAGTATACATGAGTGTGTGTGTGTCGGCTTGAACCCGCCGCTGACTTAAAGCTTCGCAAATTTAACCTGTGGCGCACGATGGCGTATGTGTGTGAGTCTGTGCCTCCCTGTTAGCTTTGGCTTGCAGGACGGCGTGCTGTGCGAAACGCCAATCTCCGACTGCTAAGCAGGTGCAAACTCTGCCACGAGTTCTTTTTCTCGGCTCAGCATGGAGGAAGAACACAAGCCGCTCTTCCTGTGCCTCCACTATTAGTCGTGTGTGAGACAACAGAAGAAGAGAAGGGAATACGCAGCACCCCCTCTCGTCTGTGCAGTGGGGGAAGTGGGGAAAGAGGAGGCAGAGAAAGCATTTTATATAGCGCAACCGGAATAAATGACTGACAGCACGATAAACAGAAAGAAGGAAGGGTTGCCTCCCACACGCGGCGTCTTTATAACGCGCCTCCTCAAAGTTTGCTTTGCTTTGCACTCCTTCCTGATTTGCATCAGCAACGCTGTTGTAAAGTTAGTAGTTGAAAAAGTCATTAAATAAGCACATTTTCACAATTAGTTTGAAGAGCAAATGTTAATTTACTTAGTGATGAAAGTCCTCCGGATTTTCCCGGAGTTCCAGATTTTCAAATTTTCATGAAAGTTCCTCCGGAAAATTGAGGAAAAATTGCCTAAAATGAATCCGGATATTAGTTGACAACATTGAACGAACACGCATTTGAATTTGTTGTTTTGCTTTCACGAGCGTAGCCATGTTGAGGCACTAACACTAGTAGCAGTAACACCCCTCGTCTCGCATTCTCATGGCCTCGCCATATGTCGGAGATTTCGAAATTTTGGCGATAACGGAAGCCACAAAGGGTGCACGTGTGCACACAAAAGGCAGATTAATCATTGAATGTCGAGTATTTGAATAGCGTTTTGTGTAAACTAATTCATGTGTGTTCGGCCAGGTATGGCCCCAGCGCAATGTTCAAACAGGTAGACAGGCAAGCTGACATACGTGCAATAGACGCGAGTGTTAGGAACACGTTCAAGTGGTCATGGCTTGAGGAAAAGGACTTGAACGGAGATTTTTTTGTCCGACTACATTAGAAAGGTCGATAAACGTGGTAAGTCAGTTAAAATCATATATTTTTCCTTATACTTCCTTACTTAAATATATATACTTAAATACTTTTACTATACTGTACTTACTTAAATATATACACTTATATTATACTTACTGTACCTACAGTTTCCAGCAGCTTTTAATTTTAATTTTAATTATTGACTAATGTAAACTATATGCTGGTTTGTTGTTCCTGTTTACAAAACAAATTATCCCCAGTACACAGGTTGCAAACTCACGGGATCATTGTTTGTGGCCCGCTAAAGCAGATTACGTGCTTCTTTTTTTAATGCCACACTGTAGCAAAATTGTAAATTGTTTTCACATTTTGTAATGTGAACATATTCTTTTTTTTTTGTTTTGATCTTTTTAGCAGTTGAATTTTCCCATTTTTCTAATCTTCCTCTTTAAAAACTAGTTTTCCATCATGATGTTGCCCCACTCCTATGGATTTCTTTTAGGCCATTGCCGCCGATTCCGATATTTTCCAGAAAAAAAAATCCCAATAACCAATTCTTTGTCTGATTATTTTATAAATAAAATAAAACATCTATTAAATAAAATAACTTCTTTTTGGCCCCTTAATGCTTACAACAACAAATCTGTGAAATACAGGCAGAACATTTGACAGTTTTACAATACTTTGCCCTTTGGTATTTGATTCACTTTAGAAGAGAGAGGAATTTTCACCTTCAAAAACATGCATAAAAGTATGAACTGATGAATTCAGCTTCAGATTCCGGCCATAAATCTATGCAGTACATGAGCATCTTAATCTGTGAAATTACTTCCTGCAGGATGCCTTTTAACGTTGAAACACGTTTCGTCTAATCCATTGTTTTCTTTGCGATGAAGTAAGACTTCAAAATTTTTAAAAAATGCCTCTCACATCAACTCTCACAGAGTTGCATTTGAACTATATGATGGACAGAGAGAGAATTAAACTGAAACGGGAGCCAATTTTAACACTAACAATCCACACGGATAGATAGATAGTATGTAAAGAATAGTGTTCTGTCAGCCATGCATGCCCTTTACTGCCTCTTCATCCCTACTGGACAGCATTTACTGTTTTATGAGAAAGAAACTTTGTATTGGCGTTTCAGAACAAATCAGCAACATTCCAGCCGATTCTTCTTCTTCTTCTTCTTCTTCTTCTTCTTATTATTATTATTATTATTATTATCATTATTAAAGGCCTAATATTGGCCGATATAATCAGCTATCCGGTTAATTGGTTGGAGCCTAGTGTACACTGTCTTCACTAATTCGGTTTTACAGCCATACTAGCCCTCTTAGGGAAACCATAATTACTTTGTTCAATGAATTTACCTGCCCAAGTGAATCATAAATATCTAATCATTATTTTTTTATATTTAAATACAAACTCAGATTATGGAAAAACTAGCTCTACTCCCTTCCTGGTCACGTTGGTGTGTCCTATTTGTGTCTGTGTGTGCATGTTATCGACTTGGAGAGTATCCCAATGGGACGAGTTACGAGCTGTCGCTCGGTCAGTTTTTTTTGCTTTGCGCTGCGAGTCCACATTTGTGTTTTTTGATTGATTGATTCGTAAGCCAAGGTACTACTGTGCATTATGCGCTGTGCATCTGATATTTGACGTGTAGTTACTCATATCCCTCTGCGTGCCCCCGGCTGACTGCGAATGAAAGGCAAAGGTCAAGAGCAACTGTTTGATCAAGCGGTGTTCATGCATGTGTGTTTGTGCAGTAGGGTTTGGGGTGCGGGGTGCGGACTCAGGGTACTGCTGTGTTGCAGGACATCAAAGGACCCACCCACAGACATTTGAATCCTAAAATCTGAATTCTCTTTGAGAAGTTCAACTGCAGTTCAGCGTTTGTGTGTGTGTGTGTGTGTGTGTGTGTGTGTGTGTGTGTGTGTGTGTGTGTGTGTGTGTGCGCGTGTGCGTGTGTGTGTGTGTTGAATATGAGCACTGGTAATTCTACTTCCCACTCCTTTCCCATATGTTTACCGATTTTCTTTCTTACGCTGTTTTTTTGGTTTTTTTTTTTTTTTTTTACTATTGCTGCCAAATTTGGACGTGGGTGATGCTAGATTTTAGCCCATGCCATTGGAAGCACAAAACTCAAATATCAGCTTCACAACGTCAGATCTCAACTTAACTTGTGGAGGCTTGTCGAAGGCTTATGATGAAGGGATCCACATGCCATTATCGTGAAAAAGTCATAGCAGCAACAGTGTAACGTTTACAACTGTTAGACTTTCAGCTAATCCTTCAGGGGTCTGTATAATTTCATTTTCTGGCAGGCGACAAGTGGATGATATTAAACAGTAAAGAGCATGGCGAAGCTCAGATCACTTGACAATTCCATGCAACGGGTGTGTGTCCCAGACTTCAACCGCCTGGTCAAAGTATTTGTCGTTTTGGATATTATTGGTGGTGCCCCCTTCTGACAAAAATGTATAAATGTCAGGATTCCACTGAAATTGCTTCAGTTGCCAAACATAAGTTTGTCCATGACGCAACCCAAAGGTTTTATTTGAAAATATTATAGTTGCCGATTTCAAACTTGCTGCTATATTCATGAGTTCACAACTGAAGTGAAATGGAGCAAAGGTGCATTTCCGCTCAAATATCCAATAGTGCAATCACGCATCACTCTATTACAGAATCTATTTGGTACGAAAATTAAGGGTGCAGAGGGTGATAATTGTTATCAGACAGAGGAAGTGATTATATTTCACCTGGATGGAGAAGGCGGGCGGGGGAAATTATCCAATGCATTCTCCAGTTTTATTGTTCAAGTGCAACTTAATCTGGAGAAAATTAAAGTGTGCCAAATAGCAAGCTAAGACCTAGAGATGACCATCAAGGTGATGGATTCAATAGCCATCAGTGCGCCGTCTGTCTCATGAATGTCCATTAACAGAGACCTTTCGAGAGGTGCTGTAAAGTGTTAATCACACTCTCCTTGGATATGAATAGTGGGTGATAATGAGGGAGATGTCTGTGTGCATGTGAGGGAAGTCACTCACGTACATTTCTGTACATGAAGTTGACTTAGTTTTATGCCTCCGCAATACAGGAAGCCCCCTTAGGTAACAGCTGCCTCATTGTGATTGTCCGTGCTTGGCTGTTTAACCAGCCACCAAAGCAATGAGTAGTCAGATTATCAAATGGTAAGAGGATCCGGGAAAAGCAATCCAAACTACGGTAGGTAATAATTGACTGCTCGTCAGCTGGAAGTGTCACAGATATTCGTGAAGCGCTGTCAGACAGGCAACTCGAATTCTCACTATTTTAAGTCTTCCCAAGTGTGTCCCCAAAAAGATGGAGACAAACTGTGCCAAGATGCTTCTAAATCACACAGTGCTCATGCCAATTTTCATGTGATGACTCACTTATGTCTCATCAGCAAATGAGATGTTTTGCATGATAAATTACTTCAGTAGCATACATCATGTGAACAAAATAAATCTCAAGACACACATCTAAATTGCTTGCAGTGATTAATAATGAATCAGATGTTGGCCTCGATCCTAGGCTACGCTTTCCTTCACTGGCCTTTCCCACCCCTTGCAATCAAACTCACCAAAGGCCGGATTAATGTTCTCGTTTGTAAAAGATTATCCAGAGTGATTTGCTTGGAAAACTGACAGGTAAATGATACAACAGTTAAATCTTTCCGATCGCAAAGTATGGTTAAGCCACGCACTTCATGATTGTGAAGTGAAATGGAACGATGGCCAATCAGGAAGTGACCTGAAGCTTGCAGTTTGGGCGGACACAAATAGAGGAGCGAATGGTTGTATAGTGTTTGCCAACCATGTCCACAAGTGCCAAGGAGAAGAGTTTGTTTGCAGATAAGCTAACAAGAAGCCCACAGTGAGCCTCGCTTTTGATGAAGATTGAGTGATCCAAGTCGCAAATTGGTATGCGTGTACCCCGTTGAAGACGATTTCCAACTATTTAGAGAGACTTTCACTAATTACGTTTTGCATCTTTACATATGGCTACTTCATGAGGATATGCTGCACAGATTTATTTTAAGACTTTATAATTTCCATATCTGCATTTATCTCTGTTAAGGCCAAGAGGTATCACCTGTATGTTTTTTTTAAATCATTGTATCATGACCAACTGTTGAGCTCCTATTAAAAGTGTGATGTGGCAGCAGCTAAATGTGCAGATTAAAAGTAGCAAGGTTTTTTTTTCTTTTATAACTCTGAATCACCTTTTTATGGTTTGCCAACTTTTAATTTGATCTATCACCACCGCAACACTAACACAAGGCTGTACATCAGGGGTGTCAAACTCATTTCACATGGTGGGCCACATACGGCCTGGGTAGATGTCAAGTGGGCCGGACCATTAAAATGATACCATACTTTGCTATAAATAACCAAAACAACATGTCTTTCCTTTGTTTTGGTATAAAGAAGCACAAGAACATTAGGAAAATGTTGAAATTAAATGAACATATCTTTTACAAAACATTTCATGAAGCACCTTACATTTCCTTTGACAAATGTGCAATTTACTTTTATCATTCACATATATGCATTGCAACTGATCCCACTGATTGTACAAACTTTAACAAGTAATTGGTTTTGAAAAATATAGTAATGCACTTTAAGATTAAACGAGATTTATAAAGAAAGGAAGTTTTAAACCATTTACACGTGCATATAAAATCTAAATGTAATCCCTGCCTACACCTTACAAACTAAGGAGCGTGCTATTAAATGTGTAAATGTGAGAGTGCTATTGATAGCGTCTGCTGTCATGGGTCTGTCTCAGTGATGGACTGAGGCTGCTGTTGTCTTCTTCTCTGATCAAAACAGTGTCCCCTAGCGGATACTCAATGAATTGCACCTTATTAAAAATATTTATTCTGTGTCTTTTATGCATTTTCTTCACTTTTAAATTATCCTGTGGGGCCTGATTGAACGGCCCGCGGACCGTATGTTTGACACCACTGCTTTACATAATCATCTCGCGGGCCGGATTAAAGTCCTTTGCGGGCCGGATCCGGCCCACGGGCCGTACGTTTGACACCCCTGCTGTACATATTTCCAGACTAATACGGTAAGTCATTTTCCATTTGGTGCATCTGTGTGTTTTTTGCACCTTATTTGTTTTTGTAAATGTGATTCATTCTTGTGTGTCATTGTTGTAGATATCATGGAGCTGAATGTCGTGAGGAACGGTCAAATGTCCAAGGCTGGATTTATATTGCAAAGCTAAAAAAATAAATAAAATGTGTAAATGAGCATTCTACTAACATTAGATTTTGATCTGCCGCTAAGTTGCTAACCTGTAGCAATGCAGGTGCACCACTGAAGCGTTCCCCTGAGTCAAGTCAACTCAGTGTTATTTACATAGCACCATTTCACAACAAAAGTTATCTCAAGGCACTTTACACATTGAGAAGGTCAAGAACCATACTCTTCATTCCGTACTTCAGCTATACCTATATCTTTGTACGGTTTAAGAAAAAGAAGGGAAAAATTCCCCTGAGCAAGGGGGAAAGGATCAAAGAACAATTTGGAACAACAACAGCCGAATCAACAACAGAAATAGTCCCTGAATAACAGCAACAACGTCAACACTGGTCCACTCCCAACACCATTGTCCCAGAGATGAAGAGAAGCAGAAAATCATACTTACATGGATGGTGATGAGCCAACAGCACGCCTAACAATGGCTGCATCCCTCATCATAGCTGTAATATTATCAACAAATGGAAATATAGAGGGAAGAAGGATAAACAGCAAAGAAGGGAAAGGGAAGCCTGGCGCATCGAGGGACATTTCTCGGCAGTCTATGGCAGCTTAACAAAGAGTTGAGCCAGGACAAGCATGAGTCATCCCTGACTCTAATCTTTTTCAAATAGCAAAGTTTAAAGTTTACTCTTAGATGGAGAAGAAGGCGTCCGCCCTCTTGACTGAGTCGAGAAGATGGGCCCACAGGAAATGAGCCTGACAGAAGGTTTGACCATGCATTCCAATCAAAAAACAAAAATTGAAACCCAAGTATGCCCTGGCAGCATCAACCTTCAAACACTAACTTCCAAAGTTATGGTTGTGTAGACCCAATTGCATTCTCATCTAATTGAAACTGTTGATCCAGATCAAACCTGAATCCGTGAATGCACATTTAATACTAATAAAAAAGCTCGTCAATCATTCATTTTAGCTTTCCGTCGCAATGTTGAAAAATTATGAGCCTATAAAATAACAAAATAGGTTTTGTTTTCCCTGAACATTTTGTATTTTTCAAGTAAATTGTTCTGCTTCTATTCTATGATTTAATAATCTATCTCAGAGACACAACCATGATTTTTCTAAGGCAAAGTCACTAGCCCAGGTGTGGGAGTAGCAGACAGAGGCACCGATGAAAAATTCTATTGGCTGTAAGTTTAAGATCCAATTTTTAGGAGCTCGCCTCATCTCAAGGTCACTGTGCTTTACTTCTGAACATTCTTTTTTTTTTTCCATAATCCTTTGTTGAGTGCTGTGGTGTATTTCTCCTGCTCGGTCCTGCACACAGTTAGAGGTCAAAAAGACCCATTTTGTCTCATAGGCTAATTACAGTCTGCATTTATTTTGGTTCCCCTTGGGTAAACACACACTTCCAGATGGAAAGTGCTGTTTCCACTAAAACCGCTAATGTTATTTTAGGGATTTTCAATGTTTGATGCTGGTGTGGAAGTCTATGTACAGTTTGCTTTCAAAAGGTTTATAAGGATTTCATCACTTACCACATACACGTTAACACGAACAAGAAAAGCTTGAACCAGACAATAGCGTCATGCTGAGGCAATGCACTAAAACCAAATCGCATTCAGGACTTTGCAGAAAACAAATCATGTATCCTTTCAGATTTTTCCCGAACAGCCTGCTAAAACATCCAGCTTTGCACCCCCCACACACCGGCATTGATTGCTGAGTCTTTTCTCTCATCTATGCAAATGCTTTTCCATAGCTCGACTTACCGTTATTCCCTCAGAATATGTAGTCTTATATTTCCTTTTAAAAAAAAAAAAAAAAAAAAATCTCTTTTCATTTCTCAGTGCTTCCCCACTCTTCATCTAGGCTCTATTCGAAGCATTCCTCAATTTTTTTTCTCTGGGTGCCACTGTTTATTGTTCCTCTCCCCTTACCTCCGTGTATGTGTGCCTGAATGCTTTTGTGTGTTTGCGCGTGTGTGTATGTTGCGCTCGGTAGTATGTCCATCAGCTATCTCATTACGGCTGTCTCTTTTTACATCCTTTTGCCTCATTAGGCACCACCCAAAGCCACTAAGACCAGCAGGCCTTAACTCCCACCCCAATTTGCCCTGTACATATGTGTGTATGTATTGTTTTGTGCCATTTTCACTGCTTCTTGTTCCATTCATGTGATTTAAATGAAACAAGTGCGTAAAAAGTTAAGAGGTTAAAAAATGTGTATGTTCTTATGGTCACATAAGTTACCGAACCTGCTTTCAAGGTTGAATATTGGATGTGTGTGTGTGTGTGTGTGTGTGTGTGTGTGTGTGTGTGTGTGTGTGTGTGTATATAATTTATTTTTGAATGAGCGGTGGGTCGACTGGTTAGCATGTCGGCCTCCCAGTTCAGAGGTGCAGGGTTCGATTCCCACCTTCCTGTGTGGAGTTTGTTTGTTCTGCACCGCTTTTCTCCGGGTTTCCTCCCACATTCCAAAAACTTGCATGAAAGGTTGATGGAACACTCAAAATTGTCCCTAGGTATGAGTGTGAGTGCGGATGTTTGTTTGTCTGTATGTGCCCTGCGATTGGCTGGCAACCGGTTCAAGGTGTCCCCTGCCTCCTGCCCAAAGACAGCTGGGATGGGCCCCTGGATAGATAGTGATAGTGAAGGTACGGTCCTTCTTTTGGAATAAGAGTCACAAAGTTAAGATCAAAGTCTCATTGGGCTTGAGACATGATAATGTTAGACCTCCAAGTTTTTATGGAACTTTGGTAGTCTGCCCAATTTTGCTTGGGACGTTCTACTTTGAAAGATTTACAACACATGACTTGTGCTCACTCAATCAGACAACAAGTTGGAAAGACTTAATTTTTGTATGGATCATCAAGAAATGTATTTTCTGATTACATTTGGAGGTTTTTCAATGAGACTATTGCCTTCCTGTGTGTGTCCTCAGGTCAATGAGATCTACCATGACCAATCTCTGGGGGCAAAAATCAATGTGGTGCTGGTGCGGATTATCATGTTGGGCTATGGAAAGGTAAGATCTGAAACAAGTGCTACTCAAACTGGTCGTCCGCAAAATTATATGCAAGTGCATCCCTCTGTAGGTGCAATAGCATGCCCAGAAAACAAACATACTAAACCAATCATTGCTCACTCACGAGCTTAGCTTTTGGCCACCTAAAGTGCTTCTATGACTTGGACGTATCACATAAATAGCTGCTCTTGTTGAATTGCACAAGTGAAGCAAGACTTTTCGGGAAAGTATTGGTTACTTGGAAGTACATACCTAAGGTGCAAATATTCCACTTTCAGCGCTTTTGCAACATAGAAAGTGGCACCATTATGCTATTTATCAATTTTAATAAAGAGCCAACAAATCAAAAGGTTCACACACTATACTTTTTGTGAACCTTTTTTAATCACTTCTATGAATAAAACATACATTTTTATACTATTGCATTGATATTACAAAAATTCCTACGATACTTGCTCAGGTCAGCTTGCACATTCATCTCATCATGTCCTTTTCATCAAAGTGAGATGTGAATTCATTTGGACGAAATGTTGACTGATAATTTTGTCTTTGTTCTTCATTGTAAATTTTTTGCCTGCTGCCACTATGCATCCAGCAGTGTTTGAGTTAAGTCATGAATAATGAGGTTGAAATGCTAAAAAAAAAAAAAGACACCCAAATGGAGCTAAATTCCCATCGCTTTGCACATGGCAGTTATATCTAATGGGCGTAAGGAGTGTAAGTGGTCCTTGGAAAAAAATGTCCTTAAATGTGTCCCTGGTCTCAAAATGTTTAAGGCCAATCTGTGAAGTAAATTCTGAGGTTCCTGGAAACAGTGAGGTCCTTTCTCTTTTATAATAAGGACTCGGCTTGATACAAGGATATTGCTACAGTCACTTTGAATAACTGCATTAAACACAGCCAATTCTTTCACACGCATAAGCAAGCACGCCGACACACGCAACATTGCCCCGGGGCCTGTTATTCCAGTGGACTGAGCAAAAGAAGAACTAAAAGCATGGGGCATCTCGGGGGAGAGTTTTCAAGTTGTACGCCCTCACAGTTCAGCACAAAAGCACAAAGAAATTCTGGCCGTTATGTAATCAGCCTTCCTCCCAGTAGACAGCAGCACCGAATCATGGGAAGTCCGAGCAAAGGTAAACAATCAATGATCAGAATCTCCCATTCATAAACCGAGAGACAGGACAGAGAGGGCAAAGGAACAAAGCAGTGATAAATTCAAAGTGCAAGGATTACCCCACAGGATGATAACGCCCATTATAATGGAGGGATTGCTGCTCTGTGATACACTTGTCCTTCTGTAGCCTTATCTTTTCCTCTCCTATCTCCATGTGCGCAGTGCCACTGGAGCCCTGCGAAACACACGCACGCACGCACGCAGACAAAGTTCCATCAGTCATCCCCTATTGCAGCTTTAGCCAAAGAGCTGGCTGTCCATCATCCCCAATTACCGTGGCAACCGAGCTGCACCCAGACAGCCTGCAGATTGGCTGTGTGACCCTGAAAACTGACACACCCTCACACAAGCACAGCATGCTCAGAGGATGCTATTAAAACTTGTATTTGGGGAGAAAAGAAAAAAAACATTCCGATTTGATCACCATTTTGGGATTTTTATATAGTCGATTATATTATTCAGTCAAATGAAAACTCCGATTTCAAACACGTCTCAACTTAATTATATCATTGATGCGACATAATTGCAACGTAGCTGAAAAGCATCAACTGGTGGGCGTTTCATAATTAATATTGAGCAAATATTCTACTAAAATTCTGTTGTTTTAAGTGTATTTTTTAAAATTGATACAAAGAAAACACTTTATATCTATCTGTGTTGTGTGTTGTATTGCCAGATTTTTTTTGCTCTACAATGGATGAATTCTCTCGTACCGCAAATAGAACAATACACTCGAAATGGAAATCAATTTTCTGTATTGATAATGCATCATGGAATATATTTGATTTTTCTAATTACCGCGGAACAGTTCAAACGTTGAACTAAATTATTGTCTTGGAGTTGTCAGGGCTTGCGATTAGATGAAGACCTGTGTGAGAGACCTTTTCAATAAAAGTTAGATATTAATCAAATCAACTTTGAATACCTGAAATGACACTGGCCAACAAGCAAGTTGTAATCAGAGATGGCGTTATGGGTCTCTATTCCCTCAGCATATTTTTTACTCTGATTGATTTTTTATTTATTTACACGTGAGTTTTTTTTTTTTTTCGATATTTTCATTTTTTGTTTTTAAGTTTGAGTATCCAGTTCTGGTAAAATGGCATAGGAGCAAAGAAGCAACAAAAACAACCTTTTAACTAACTTTTTTTTTTTTTTTTTTTTTTTTTTTTTTTTTTTTTTGGGGGGGGGGTTTCCACCGCATGTTTGCATTTGTAATTACCGGTAGTTTAATTTTGGCAGCTAAAACAACCCATTTTAAGTTACATAAAGTTAAAGTTGATTTTTTTTTTTTTGTAAGCGTGCTTTGAGATTTGGCCATCCCCGATATTGGGGGTATTCTTACTACACATTTGAACTTTCACGACAGTGTGAAAATTTTGAAAACCAAGCTAGATCAGACATATGTTGTTTGAAAGGACAAAGGAGGCAAGAAGAAGGTAAAAAGAAATGCACTTTAAGTGGGTTTTTTTCTGTAGTTAGTGCATTATTTTATTTTCTATTACTATGAAAGTCATTTGGATTGCGTGATGCTTTCGTCTGACAATTTTCCATTACTGTGTGTCATCTGAAAAAGCAATACAGTGGCACTGCCCCCTACAGGGTCAAAGTCAACAGCAGCTTTTTGTGTGAATTACATTTTCTGTCACTGTGACTATTTTTCTCTTTGCAGTCCATGACTCTCATTGAGAGGGGTAACCCTTCCCAAAGTCTGGAGAACGTGTGTCGCTGGGCCTTTCTACAGCAGAAGCAGGACATTGGGGATGCCGAGTATCACGACCACGCCATCTTCCTCACACGGCAGGAATTCGGCCCCACAGGCATGCAGGGTAATGACCAAGACACGTAGGACTCTTCCAGAATGCCATCTGATGAACGTAGTGTCGTGTACAGCCAAAGCAGAGTATCCCAGCCTCTTCCTTCCGCTGCCTCACGCAGCATAGTGCACTGTGAGTTTGGCGGTCGGTGGTTTTGCGTGCATCAGAGTGCAAGCTAACAGGAAGGCCCAGGGGAGAGGCGTCTAAAGGCAATGGCCTAGCTACACAGAAGCCCTTCAGCTGCCCTTGGGCTCAGTCTTCTGCAACAGAAAATCAATAGACAGAGCAGGGCCAGGAACGGCTCCACAATTAGAAGAAGCATAGGACACACAAGATAGCCACACACTCTTTTAGGAGTTAGCTTTAGACACATAAGCACACAGGTTTGTGGTTGTGTGCAACATTCAATCTCTCCACTCTTTTCGGAAATCATACAACAAGGCTGCAAATAAAGATATCATTTGAATCATTTGACAGAATCGAGGCGTTCACATGATCTAATTTGTATCATTTAAAACATGTAATTTTCGCCATTAAATACAGCGGTTGTAAATCTTTACGCACAAGTACCAGAAAAAAGAAAAAAAATAGCTCTCCAAGTACGACCATAATGACCAACATTAAAATACAATAGCCCAGTAAGCCAAAGTGCTGTTTAAAAATAAGACAGAGGTTGTTTTAACACTGACTATACATTGAAACACAGGGAAATAAAAACAGTGCTGAATATAATGATTTTGAATGCCTTGTGCAATATAATAAAAATAAGCTAAATAAAAATTGTTCCTCCATAAAAGTTCAATACCAAAGAGTTCTTAAAAGATTGGATCCCAATGTATTGTATAATAAGTTAAATACAACTGAACTGTACCTAGGCAGTGACTCACACAATATGTCAAGTATTTTTGTTTTCATTTTAAGATTGCAAATTATTTTGTGTGTATTCAAATACATCTGTTTGCAATGTGTCTGGATAGTATGTTGAAATAATACATTGCAGATGTTCATCTGCAGCTGGTGGTCCGTGTGTATCCTCTGAGATGAACGGCGATTCACTGTCAAATATCCCAAACCATTGGAGGATGATCGAGTGGATACCTGGTGTTCGTCTTCCTTTAACACTTAATCAGCGAGTTCATCATACTGTAGTCCCAAAAATGAAAAAATTAAAATCACTCATCGAGGAAGTTAGAACCATTTTTATTCACACAACAAAGTGACTGAGTAGATAAAAAGAAAATGAATACAGCATTCTGTACGTGTAAGAAATAGTACACAAACAATTAAATATATATTGTCACCTTTGGTGCTGTAAGTAGAATTTCACAACTGCAGTAAAACTTTCACTGGTTGCTTTCGTCACTCCTTCTGCCCACCATCCTCATCCTCCCAGTCATACCCGAGCTGCTTTCACTCAGGCCATAGATTTTTGTCCTCATTGCAACGGACATTTTCCATCGTGATGCAGCAAGGGAAGAGACGGCACAAATGTCTCAACTCCTCCCCTACAATGATCTGTAATGTCCTCGCACGTAACATCCATTACATGAAACAAGGACCTCCGGTCCTGAGCCCGATGTTTATACACACTCCACCTCCAAGCAAAAAAAAAAATAATAATAATAATAACAATAAATTAACAATTACTGACATTCAACCAATCAGTTTAGATCAGCAAAAATGGCTATGTCTCCCGACGGTGGTTCTCAAACAGCAGCATCGTTAATAGGCAATTTTTGATACAGCGTTGATTGTTTCTCTTCAATTCCTATTGTGTAGGTTATGCGCCAGTGACGGGCATGTGCCATCCAGTAAGAAGCTGCACTTTGAACCACGAGGATGGTTTCTCTTCTGCCTTTGTGGTAGCACATGAGACTGGACATGTGTAAGTACCTTGGCATAACATCGTGTCCTGTACATGCTACACATTTCCCTTCCTTTCACTCATTTTCATCTTGCCCCCCCCCCCCCCACTCCTCTGAGATGAACGGCGATTCACTGTCAAATATCCCAAACCATTGGAGGATGATCGAGTGGATACCTGGTGTTCGTCTTCCTTTAACACTTAATCAGCGAGTTCATCATACTGTAGTCCCAAAAATGAAAAAATTAAAATCACTCATCGAGGAAGTTAGAACCATTTTTATTCACACAACAAAGTGACTGAGTAGATAAAAAGAAAATGAATACAGCATTCTGTACGTGTAAGAAATAGTACACAAACAATTAAATATATATTGTCACCTTTGGTGCTGTAAGTAGAATTTCACAACTGCAGTAAAACTTTCACTGGTTGCTTTCGTCACTCCTTCTGCCCACCATCCTCATCCTCCCAGTCATACCCGAGCTGCTTTCACTCAGGCCATAGATTTTTGTCCTCATTGCAACGGACATTTTCCATCGTGATGCAGCAAGGGAAGAGACGGCACAAATGTCTCAACTCCTCCCCTACAATGATCTGTAATGTCCTCGCACGTAACATCCATTACATGAAACAAGGACCTCCGGTCCTGAGCCCGATGTTTATACACACTCCACCTCCAAGCAAAAAAAAAATAATAATAATAATAACAATAAATTAACAATTACTGACATTCAACCAATCAGTTTAGATCAGCAAAAATGGCTATGTCTCCCGACGGTGGTTCTCAAACAGCAGCATCGTTAATAGGCAATTTTTGATACAGCGTTGATTGTTTCTCTTCAATTCCTATTGTGTAGGTTATGCGCCAGTGACGGGCATGTGCCATCCAGTAAGAAGCTGCACTTTGAACCACGAGGATGGTTTCTCTTCTGCCTTTGTGGTAGCACATGAGACTGGACATGTGTAAGTACCTTGGCATAACATCGTGTCCTGTACATGCTACACATTTCCCTTCCTTTCACTCATTTTCATCTTGCCCCCCCCCCCCCCATTCCCACCTCCCAACTCCAATGTTTTGCCGCAGGCTGGGCATGGAACACGACGGTCAGGGGAACCGCTGTGCTGATGAGGTGCACATGGGGAGCATCATGGCCCCGTTGGTTCAAGCTGCCTTTCACCGTTTTCAATGGTCCAGGTGTAGCATGCAAGAGCTGGGACGCTACCTCCAGTGAGACTTGCACACACATGAGACGAGACCAAACAAAAGTCTGTATTGTGTTGTATTTCACCGCTTTAGTGCGAGGCCCTGTGAAGTAAATTCATAGATTTGTTTTTAAATACGCTCTACACGTTTGAAGGTTGTTGCTGAAAATGTGCCAAGACTTAGAAGTGAAACTATATATTATTCAATTAAAATTTTTTAAAAAAATGAGATAAATGGTGCTATCTTTGTGAGCAGGCGCCCCCGTACGCTCAGCTTATAAACTTCATTTTGGTGCGAGGTCGAGCCCAGTGTGCATGTTAAAACTGCAGACTCCTCAGCAGCCGAGTTGTCAGCACGCCTGCCTCTGGACTGACTGGCTAGCAGTCCAGGATGTAGACCACTATTTAACTGAAGTCAGCCGCGCTCGGCCCCAGCACGATAAAGTTTCACCCAACGCTTCCAGAACAATAAGACATCTCATCCGATTGTCTTTCCCAGTTCCTATGACTGTCTCCGTGACGACCCTTTTGACCACAACTGGCCATCGCTGCCACAGCTTCCTGGTTTACACTACTCCATGAATGAACAGTGCCGCTTCGACTTTGGTGCGGGCTACACCATGTGTACTGCGGTAAGAGACGCCCCCCCCGCCCCCTTTATGTCAACTAACACGGCGATAGACACTTATCCTGTACTCTTATCTGTCTGTCAGTTTACAATGTTCCTTGTTCCATGAGAGCAGTTTTGAGGGTAAATACTGACATCTCATGTCCCGTGTTCCCCCGCTATATCATGGTTCAAAGGTCACACGATTTTACAGTAAACTGAACATGTGGCTCGCTAACGTCACGTCACCTCGCCAGGCCCCACCGCTTAACTCATTTAATGCCAGCCGTTTTTCTCAAATGATTAACATTTGACAAATTTTTGAAGGCCTACAGAAAACAAATAAAAGGCCGACAAAAAAGCTTGAACCCTCTACTTTCATCAGGAAAAAAAGTACATTTCTACCTTTTATCATTCTTCAGTAAACAATAACAAGTATCTTGAAAATACAGTACTTGTTTCCAAGAAAAACTGTGAAAAAAAGAGATTTTTGTGAAATGATAGGTTTCAAGCAGAACTTTGATGCTATTTTTTAAATTGCATTTGTGATCGCTCAAATATCTAAACAATGCTTTTCCTACTAAATAACAACATAAAGAACACAAAAAAGGGCACGTTGATTGCAAAACAACCGTTTATAGCAAGAAAAACACTGCACTGATAAATGAACTATGCATGACCATTGTATGAACTTTTCATGAATGTTGAACTTTATCCTTGTTCTCACCACCACACTGCTTTCGCACCACGTGAGATCTCACACACACACACACACACACACACACACACACACACACACACACACACACACACACACACACACACACACACCCTCAACACACACACACACACACACACACACACACACACACACACACTCTCACCATGGGTGGACCGAAATATGATCAAAGCCACTCCTATCGAGTGGTAATTATCATACTAAACTCATTCACAAAGCCTTGATACTTAGTGAGGAGCTGCACGAAGCCCTTTATTTTTTTAATTATTTTTTAAATTTAAAAAACACACAAAAAAAGCTTTTTTACATTTAGACATTAAATGATAGGGGGTTTGCAAACATAATTTTACGTTTTGACATTAAATGAATGAAAGATGCCAGACACAAAGTGTACTGTATTTTCTTTCAATGTTATTCTGCAATTTTTTTGTCTGTTCAAATGTTTACAACATCTACTTAAATGGTGTATTTTAACATGTTTTTTTCAAAGAAACGTTTTAGTAGGTCTCTTCAGATCACAGATTTTCACCGAGTATGGGTGGGTGTGGAATGCATCCCTCGCGATAAACGAGGGTTCACTGTACATTGTAATAGGATGAGGGTCGCATATGCAGTACACACCAATTCACGTTCTTCTGATGTCTTCTTCTTTCCTCTCCCGGCCACTGGTGGGATTGATATCTTGCTTAAAAGCAGGTAAATCGGTTTTGACAGCTTTTCCAAACCCGTTTTTTTTTTCTTTTGTAAATCCAAATTATAATCTGTAATTCATATTCCAATAATTAATTTGTCGGCACGGTGGTTTTACATGAAGCCATCTCAATGTTTTTTTTTGTTTAGTTTTTTTTTTTGTCTTTTTTTTTTTTTTTTTGTAAATCCGACATGTTAAATAAGCTTCAGACTGCTGCAAGCATCTAGCAACACGCCGCTCGCTCTTCTGGGACACTTGCTTGATTGACAAAGGGTTTTTGTTCAGGAGCTTTTGCACACTTTGCTAGATTACCCTCTATTCTCTTGTCAAACCTTCAGCTACAAAAGGCAGGCCTTTCAGGAACGCAGGTAAGGTAACCCCACCTTCCTGACGACATTTGGCTCTCCGTGTTTTGATTTATTTCATTTTGTTTGTGATGTTGTGAAGTTTGTGATGTTGCTCTGTTCTTTCAATTTGTTGCAATTGTACTTTGTCTCCGGTCCACCCATTGTCATTTTTGGGACTTCGGCCTGCAGGATTCTAAAATGCCTGTCAAATAACTACAAACCCTGCAACTGTTATGGTTTATGAGGCGAACCACAGAGAGAGAAAAAAAAGACGACTTTAAGCTCATTGCAGTACTGGCGGGAAGAACCTCCTTTTACTGGCACGCTCGATAAGCGAGTGGAAAAGGTCTGAAAGACGTCTTTCCCATTAAATGGGAACAGGACAGAGCCAGAACAGAGGCACTTTTTCCATGTTTCACTTCAGCTTTTAGGATCCTCCAGCCTGATGTCACAGATGCAACCTACCACAGTCTGGTCATTAATTGTGATTCACCCTCTGACTTGGGTCATGCTGAGTATTGTTATTCCTGGAGAGGAGGTAGGCAGGCATGGGCCCTCAAACACTGGTCAGTTGACAAGGAGGGGAATTTAATCCCTAGCCGCTGAGATCTCATCTCTTTTTGGGGGCTGTTGAATCTTTTGCCCTCCGACCGGCCTTGCGACTTCAACCACAGACTGTTTCATTCAAAGAGTCCCGTCACTTGCGATCCTTGGCTTAGTTTGCATGATTGGCTGTATGTTTCTCAGTGGGGCGTAATGGGCAGTGCAGTGACAGTGCAGGGTTACTGTTGTTGTTGTTGTTGTGATGGTGATGGTGATTAATCGCCACGCTTCTCTTTTTAAGATCTATTTTCAGTGTTAAGCATCATTGCAGTCCAAATACTCAGTGCCAATTGTTGCCATTTCATTCTTAAGAGAAGTCTCTCTTTCTCCTTTGCAGTATCGCACCTTTGACCCATGCAAGCAGCTATGGTGCAGCCACCCAGACAATCCCTTCTTCTGCAAGACCAAGAAAGGACCGCCCATCGATGGCACTATGTGTGGAAATGGCAAGGTAATGAGAACGTTTCTAGAAACCGCATTTGCCATCAGCCTGCCATCTCCCGTGTGTTCTGATGAAGAACGTGCCCATCACTGAGCGCATTTGTGGTCTGGCAGCATTGTTTCAAAGGTCACTGCGTCTGGCTGACAGCCGACATCATGAAGCAAGATGGAAACTGGGGTTCATGGAGTGAATTTGGACAGTGCTCTCGCACATGTGGTGGCGGAGTTCAGTTTCGCACACGCGACTGTGACAATCCAAGGTATTGAACTTATACCCTCTTGTGATGACACCCTTGTGGAAAATCGAAGCTTGATTATACAAGGTTTGATTTTGCATTGATTTCGAAGCAATTAGGAAAAGAGGAATAATGGAGTCTCAATCAATTGGATTTTCCAAAGTTGGTGGCTCCAAAAAACATTTCAAAGCATTTCAAAACCTTTACTTACAAGCAGTTTGCAATAGCATTATTTAAACACCGAGGGCCCTATTTTTCATGCCCTCTGGATTGATACATGGTATAAAAAGACATACAGTGCTGCGCATGCAAGCTACGCACTGGTCATTTGTATCTTTTTTTTTCCATTTTAAATTGTATCTAAATCTGGCAAGATCTTTGAATTTGCAAAGAAGAGGTCAAGTTATACACTTTTGTATACTGTGTTATACATCACACAGACTGGACAGAACAGAAACAGAGCAATAACAGAGCCGCGAGTATTATAAGAATGTGCAGCAGAAGAACTGAAAGTTCAGTCTTAGTTTAGAGCCACTTCAGCAGGTTGACTGGTTATTATAAGGCCACTTTAATAAAGGGATAATGAACCGTGGGATGTTGCCTTTCTAGGCTTTGTAAATGAAGATGAGCATATCTCCTCATACGGATATAACTGTCCTCACCACCAGCTGAAATGAAGTGCAGTGGGCGCGGACTACCTGTCGCCAGTAATTAATCGAAGTCTGTACAGAGTCAAAAACAAAGTACAGAGCAGTGGTTCTTAACCTTGTTAGAGGTACCAAACCCAACCAGTTCATATGCACATTCAATCGTGAAAAATAAAAATAATGATTTTTTTTTTCCAAGACATAAAAAAAAAAAAAAAACGCATTTATTAAAAACAGAAAAAAAAATTCAAGACATAAGTATGGGATCATGTGATCTTCCACCAGACCAGTCAACGGAGGCCGCACCTGCGTGGGGGCGACATACCAGTTCCAGATGTGCAACACCAACGAGTGCGAGGACATCTACAGTGACACGCGAGAGGAGCAATGCCACGCTTGGGACCCTCGTTTGGAACAACCCAGCAACAAGCAGTGGCTGCCCTATGAACACCCAGACGGTGAATATTCATACACACCCTCGGAAGGAAGTTGAAATCATGTGGTCAAGAGAGGGGCTAAGTGATGATACACTGTTAATTAAACAAAATCCCCAAAAAAGAGGACTCAACACATAATTTTTGAATGTGGTTGTTGGATGGTTACATAAATGTTATGTTCCGATATGGTCATCCACATCTGGCCACGATTGAGTAAAGCTCTGAGGTATGACTACACCCTCCCATAAAAAAACAGCGTGTCTTTGGAAAGCTCTTTAAAAACATTTCTCTCTCTCTCTCTCTCTCTCTCTCTCTCTCTCTCTCTCTCTCTCTCTCTCTCTCTCTCTCTCTCCCCCCCCCCACCACATTCCCTGATGTCATTCGACCTTGGCCGACCCCTTTCTCCTGCACCTGTTTCTGCTTTCATGTAGCTACTATCACTTGCTGCAGAGGAACATAATTTCACCCAAACTGCCACATAACATGCATCCACGGAAAATGACCCCCTTTATTTATTTATTTATTTATTTATTTTTAATAAGACTTTCAATTGGAGGAGTCACGGTCCTCCTGGCAGCTATTATTGTTGTCATCCACCCAAAGGGCAGCACTGCAGACAAGTGCTGAACTGTCACTATATCAAAGCGCTCTCCCTTTTTTGCTGACTAGTTGTTCGACCTTCATTACTGTATGTCTATTAGTTATTCTCTCTTTGTCTGAATGCCATCTATATATTTTTTTCCAAGGCTCTCAGCCTCTCAAATTACTTCTGCATCTCGGCTGAATTCCATTCATGCCTTGTCATCTCTCGAGAAACAGATAGCGTGTGAAGAGGAATGATGTAAACTTGGATTTTATGAGGAAACGTTTGACTCCATTTTCCCGAGGCCAACAGAGCGACTGTGAACTTTATTTTCTTACTTTATTCATACAGTGTCCAGATAAGTTCAGTGCTTAAGAAGTGCAGGCTACATGTTTACATGTCCAACATGTGAAACATGAAAAGTTGGAGTGATAAAGTCACAGATTTGTTTTCACTATTGTTCTCATCTGATTTATGAATGATAGACTTGTGCTGATGTCACATTAGTTTCGTAAAGAATTTTGTGACATTGTCGTAGAGAACACTTAAAAGACTGCTAGTCAAAGTGCTTTGGAAGTTGACCGAAATTGAAGTAGAATAGCTGTCTTTCATTTTAATTAATGCTTCACTGGCCTTTGTTTTCGTGTAAGCCTAACCTATAAAACCAAAATCTTTATGTTTATGTTTATTGTAATACAAATTATTTAATTTTGCTTTTGTTTGTTAAAAAAAAAAAAAAAACATTCCAGCATATGTACAACTTTGGGTTACAGTGGTGTCATTGGAAGAGAGCTCATGATCTTTAATTTTGAAAGACATACGTCAGAAACGTTCTTCTTCATGGCAAAAGTATACAATAAAACACATCTATATTTATAGTACAACACGTACATTTTTCCGGAGCCTGCCCCATGTTTTTTTTTAATGATGAATTATAGTATAGCAATGAGTACATAATTAAGTCTGCACAGACTCTCATAAGCGTATAATTACTCCAATCAAATGTGTGTTTGATTTAATGAGGGCTTTCATAACTCAACATGACTTCATTCTGTTTCCTCCAAACACTAATGCGCAACAATTGTACAGTTGCCTCTGACACACTCTTGCTGCCAAAGGTCTCTCCATTACGTGTAGTAAACACAACAAAGCAGTCATGCTCATCTTAGAGCTGCCAGGCTTCGTCTTTGGAAGTAGTGATGTACAGTATGAGTCACACACAGGCATCAATGAAACATAACATTGGCTGGTGTAAAGCTCGTTCAAGATGAAAATTTGCTTGTAATGTGAATGTGTTTTCCATCTTTCCTCCCGCAGCAAACAAACGCTGCCACCTGCATTGCCAGTCCAAGGAGACGCAGGATGTGGTCTTCATGCAGCGGATGGTCCTGGACGGCACGCGTTGCTCATATAAAGACCCCCACAGTGTGTGTGTGCGGGGGGAGTGTGAGGTGAGTGATATTAGGAGAAAGAGTGCTCACGTGAAAAGTTATGCTCAACTAGCGGGTGCTCTCCTGAGCAGAAAGTGGGCTGCGACGGTGTGGTGGGCTCCTCGAAGCAGGACGACAAGTGTGGCGTTTGTGGAGGGGACAGCTCGAGCTGCAAAACCTTCAAGGACACAATCACCCGCACTGTCAAGAAGCAAGGTAGAGATTCAGGGCCAAGTCGAATTTCATCGGAGCAATTCTCTCACACTGTCATGTTTTGGACTCGTTCCTCTGAACTGGCCGAAGCATATTCAGCTAAACGTCGCCCTCTAGAGGACTAAAAGTGACACTGACAATGTTCTCAGACAGTTGCATGACGGCTCACTTTTGGAGCTTGAGCAGTTGTAGATGACTCCTCTGTGGGCTATATTCAAAGTTTAAAATAATTTTTTAAAAAATTGAAGGTTGGCTCTTAATAGGACATAGTTGGGATAATATTTTAAGCCTAGTCATGACTAAAGCAACCAGATTCCATGTATCGTGGTACCTTGACTTTTTTTTCCCAAGTAAATAGCCTCATTCGGTTGTTTCCCCCCCCCCCCCCTTTATGTTGCAAGCTTTGCGCCACTGCTTAAGTGAAGTTTTAAAAAATGGAGCAAGTAAAGGAACTGTAATGCCCCCACATATGGGCAAGGAGAGATTTATTTTGCATGGATGTTTGCTTATGACAAAAAAAAAAAAAAAAAGTTTATATTTCAGATTCATCGTGACATATTTCCATTAAATTGACATTAATTCCCCGGTAATTCCCACTGAAAGTTTCTGATTTGGAATATTTGCAACATTTCCCAGCTCAGCTTCCCATGGAAATTTACCTGAAACTTTCTGCAAATTTACTGGATATTTACCATGAGCCTACTCCAAAGAAATTGTTTCAAGTAAAATGTCTCACCTTGCTTTATTAGCTCAGGCTTCTTGTTTCAATTGAGACTGAATGATATTGTAGTCATGAACTGCCTTGAAATGCTTTTCAGGTTTCCTCAAAGTTCTTGAAATTCCCAGAGGGGCGCGACACTTGCTGATCCAAGAGCTGAAATCTACCTTACACACTTTTGGTATTGACGATATACCTCTCTGTGAGCATGCATTTCAGTGAACACGGGTATAATTGCTCTTCTTTGTTTTGTTTTGTTTTTTCAGCTGTGAAAAATGTGGCTTCAGGACTGTTTTTCATAAATGGGGAAAATCAATACCCCCAATCAAAATCGGTCATAGAAAAGGGGGTGGAGTGGGAATATGAAAATGACAAAGACAAGGAGACACTTCAGACTACAGGCCCTCTCAGACATGGAATTCTGATCATGGTATGTATAAAGAACTGTTTCTTCATTGACCTGAATTATTTTTTCAATGTTGGACTGTCAATATAAAAGTCTATCTCCCTAGGTGAAAACACATGGTGATGAGGATGTAAATTTCTCCTATAAGTACATGATGAACATGAACAGTGATTCTGCCATCCAAAACAACATCCTGGTGGAGGACAGCGCCTATGAGTGGGCCCCGAAGAGATGGTCCTACTGCTCCAAGCCATGTGGTGGAGGTACAAAGACAAAATGCTACTACCTGGACAGTATTGCTCTTTCTACACATGTCAAGTTAAGCATATTCAGGCTTATAGTATTTCTGTGTGCGTGTGCGTGTGCATTTGTGTGTGTGTGTGTGTGTGTGTGTGTGTGTGTGTGTGTGTGTGTGTGTGTGTGTGTGTGTGTGTGTGTGTGTGTGTGTGTGTGTGTAGGGAAACGATACCTGCGATATGGCTGCAGAAGAAAAGTAGACAGTAAGATGGTCCACAAAAGCTTTTGTAACAAGTCCAACATGAAACCTCGGGGAGACATTCAAGACTGCAACCAGAAGCCCTGCCCTCCACCCATGTATGCATAATACCGCGCTACACCATGCAATGTGCTTTCCTATATATCTTGAAATATATGTGTGTGTGTGTGTGTGTGTGTGTGTGTGTGTGTGTGTGTATATATATACACACAGAGATAGATATCCTTCAAAACTCAAATTTAAATATAACTTGAAAGAACTACCAGAAAATAAATGAGTAACAATGTAAAATAGGAAGACTATATTAATAATGGAAACACATAATTCAGAATAAATGCCAGCTACTCCTGCTGTGCGCATGTTGGCGCACACACACACACACACACACACACACACACACACACACACACACACACACACACACACACGCTGTCGTTTGGCACGTTAATAATTTCTCTTCGATGATTATGTTTTTAAAATTGCAATAAGCCAAAATCTAAATCCCGATTTTATTTCCCAGTCCTTCCTCTTCAGTTAGAATTGAGAAAACCTCTCCCACAACAGTATTACAGACATTTTAAAATTGTATTTTTCAACATTTAGTTGCCTTTTTCTTTGTGACCGTCTACTTCTACTACTTTCAATCTACATGACCTTGAAACTCATGTTCCTTCCTCAGTTGGGTGGCAGGGGAATGGCAGAACTGCAGCAAGCCGTGTGGAAAGACCGGGATGCAAGTCCGCTTAGTTAGCTGTGTCCAACCGTCGGACGACAACACCACCAGGGCTATCCATAATAAATATTGCAACGACGACCGTCCGGAAACGCGCAGGTCTTGCAACCGGCACGCCTGTCCAACCCAGTGGAGGGTCGGACCATGGTCCCAGGTAAACCTGAATCAGCAATGTAGTCATCTTGGAATGTACAATATTGCAAATTGAATTTACAAATGGCCATTCATTTGTGTAGCGCTTTCAACACTGTCTTATCAAGCAGCCACTGATGATGCAGCATCAGGAGCGACTGGGGGTTCGGTAGCTTGCTCAAGGACACTTGATTTCACGGATATTCTCAATTTGTGCCTGTAGTGCTCAGTGACCTGTGGTAACGGGACTCAGCAGAGGCAGGCTGTGTGCCACACCAGGGACAACACCATCGGCCTATGTCTGGACAGTAAGCCCGACACCATCAGAATGTGTCGGATGGATCCATGTCCGAGTGAGTAGCAAGAAAATCTCCATCAATAAAGTTGATTTAGACCGTTTATCATAGCCAAACAGACAATGACTCAAACCGCATCAGTCCCCAGAAGAATCATTCAATGACAGAATCGTCTCCTTTTCAGTTTATTGATAGTATGCTAGCCTTTCAGTTAAAGCGACAATGGCCAAGGTTAGGTTTTTGTTTTTTTGGAACATTTTTACAATTTTTGCATCCGAATATCACCAATATCGTTATATGACAGAAGTAACTTGCACACCACTGTTGTTACTGTCGGTGTCATCAGAGAACACTCTGGCTTTTGATGTCCTGGTGAATTGTTATTTCGGTTTAACTTGGATTTGGTTGAGGAACATGACCCACGGTATATTTATTCCTTCCAACTTCTCCTTTCTTTGGCAGAGGGCTCGTCAGATCTCAACAAGAACGGCAACATCCTGATCCAATGGCTGTCCCGCCCCAGCCCCAACTATCACAAGAGCTCCTCACGTAAAACCTCCCTCTATAGTTCCCAGCCTGGCCTCCACAGCGGCAGCCGCAGCTGCATGTCTGTTTTCTCCTGGGCTCTACCCATCTCTGTCCTCCTCTCACAGCAGGGCCGCCCCCAGCCGGCCCCCTGAAGCAGCCCTCCCCTACGTCCTGTGCCTGTGCCCGCATCCAAGAGCGAGCGGCAAAGCTTTTGCTTCTCTTTTAGGGGAGGGAGGGGGCCGGTGTTGTCTCTCTCCCTTTCTCTCAACCTGTCTGAGACGGCTCTGACTGGGGGAGGTCTCTAGCTCCTGTGTGTGCAAGCTGGTTCTCTCTTGCTCTGTCTCTCTTGCTATCTCTTTCTCCTGTGTGGAGCATTGTTGTTGTAACCGCTGGCCAGTCGAAAACTCAAAAGATTTACAAAAAAAAAAAAAAATGATATGAGAAGGAGCTCCAACTGGTAAGGCCAACAGATTTTTTGTGGGCACCTCCCGAGAGTGTCAAAGAGAGCGTGCAGGGGCCTCCACCTGCATTTGGCAGCCATGTTTTGCGCGAGCTATCTGCGTGTTGTCATGGGTTACTACTTCGGGGATACAGTTGTGCTCGTTTCTTTTTATAGCGCACTGTCATTGTGAGACGAAACAGATGTGAACATAAACAGAAAAGGTATATAAATATCTATTTAAAAAAAACACGTTTTTAAAAAATATATACAGTATACGAAAGCTTTATTGTGAATGTGATCTTGTCACAATGAGGACATCTTTGCTGAAGTGCTCATCTCACATCCTGGTTCCATTTGGGGATGAGAATGGCGTCTCATTCCACGTTCCATTCTCAGATTAACAGGAACCCAGCACAAGGAGAGGAAGTGACAGAACTTATTGATTTGGGGGATAGGGAACTGTGAGGTGAATAGCCTTAAAGCAAAGGCTGTATAGAATAAAACAACAACAACAAAACAGGGTAGTCTGACCACTTGTGGTTGCTTCCCATTTCACCTCATCATCAGCCATCCTCTCTTTGACTGTTATACTAAAGTTCAATAAATGCAGCTTATTTGTGCTTGCAGACTTTAAACAAATACATATATAGATATATTTATATTCACCAAAAATATGTAGACATATAAATCTAAATCTCTATGAATAACAATAATATGAATAATGTTTTACCATGAATAAGCTGTAGCTTATTTGCCTCAAACCTTTGGACTGCTATTGATTGCTCAGATCCCGACTGTTATGTGTATTTTTTTTTATTATTATTATTCTTGATTTTACATGATTACAGAAGAATCTTTACTAAAAGGTAAGATGTTTTGGGTAGGGGTAGACCTATTTTATGCAGGACTTGGTCAGTTAGTTGCCTCTCCATTTCTCTCTTAAAGAAGTTTATTTTCACCTCACTTGTTTGCTTTACGGCTCCCATACTTTTTGTCATCTGCATTGGCATCCTTTGCTTGTTTTGTGTGAAATGCGTGAGGGACTGCCAAAGTGTGTGTATGTGCGTGTGTTTGTGTATGTGCGTGTGTGCGCATGTGTTTGTGTGTATGTGTTTATGTGTGTGAATGGGCGCATGTCTGCTGAATTAAAGAAGGAAATATTGAGTTGTGATACTCATGAGGGAAGTGAGTCTGAGTGTGTGGGGGGGGGGGCATCTTCATTTGGGCTTCTATACACTTCGATCAGCTACAGAAATACCTCATAAACTTTGATTTTACGAGTGTCTGGTGGTATCATTTTTTTCCTTTTTGGGATGAACACTAACCACATGAACAATGCCTTATCTTGGATTGAATGTAATGGCATTTATCTGTGAAAGAGATGGCTTTATTCATTCAAAGTTTCACTTGGAATAGAGGCAGCTTCAAACCAACTTAAACTCACACCCGCCAACCGTCAAACCTACCAAGGAGATGTTGGACCCAAAGTCTGACTACAGGGAAGGGTTTACAAAGGGCCTAGGGTATTGACACATGCGACACCATGGGGGGAAAAAAAAAGAAAAAAAAAAGAATAAAGACACAAAACACTTCAGACTTTACGCTTCATTGTATTGTGATCACATATTTCTGTTGTGACTATGTAGCCAGCTATCCAAGGTTTCCTTCTGCTGGAGTTGGACTTTAAGAGACCAAGCCAGATCTAGCAGTGCGATACTGTATATAACATTGGTGTTGACTGTATTTAATAATGTTCATGACTGTTATCTTCGATAATATTCTATACTATGGGTAACTGTTTTGTGGCTTCACTGGCCTGTTGCGTGGGGCTGGCTAACGTTTGGTTAACGTTGAAGAAAACATTCAGATGGACTATGTGCACTGCGTCTATATGCACTTTGATTTATCAGGGAAATTGTATTAATGTTTTGTAAATGTTTCATATGACACTTAATGTGCCATTCCAGTTTTTACATCATCATGGAAATCACGGATTTCATTTTGACAGCAAATATGATTTATGTACTACTTTTTGTTTTCCCTCGGTCGATAACCAGATTGGTTGATTTCCAAGTATTGAAGTGTTTTACCAAAGTGACTGTGAACTTGTAACTTTCGATACAGTTGAATTATTTTTCTTAAGAAAATAATCTATCTATATATTGAGCGGGGGGAGGGGGCGTACATCTCATTGTTTAAGTTCCTGTCATTCTCAAACAGCAAAGTTGTATCAATAAAAATGTTTTGAAAAGTGTCCCCTTTCTCACATCAGGAATGTTGACGTGGACATATCAATGCATATAGTCACATTTTTACTGGCATGCTATGAAGAAGTTAGAAAGTAAAGCACTTGGGCATCTGGTGTTTACGAGGACAACAATCAAACAGACAGGCAGACAGGTTTAATTTGAAACCACTGGATGTGCAACTTCAATTGCTGTGGACGACTGGAATCAGTCTTCTTCATTTTTGGGTATTCCTCTCCTTCCTCCCTGCATCTTCTGCTAATGGCCCGGCTTTACACCTGTTCTTTGCACAGTGTGAAACCACACTCTCCTTCCACACAATTGTGCATGTCTGGTAAACACAAATGTATTTGCAGTTTAATGCTTGCTGTACGGTAACTTCCTTTCATGTTCCGCAACGTATACAAATTGCATCCTTGCAATAAAATACCCAATTTTTCCCCCCCCCCACAGGTCGCCGTTGTCATGGAGACCGTTCTGTGTTCTGCCGTATGCAGATGTTGAACCGCTACTGCTCTCTACCAGACATTCAGCGTCTATGCTGCAAGACCTGCAGCAATTTTACAGTCACGGTGTCCGAAACGAACTCTACATCAACCCCCATCTCCTCCACCCAATCCCCCGTCACAGCTCATCCACCCACGAGTCTCACTTCTCTGTTCACCTCCACCACCCACTCCCCCGAAGTTGCAGCCACTGTCGTTCCAGATGCCACCACCACTAACGCCTGGACCATGACTCATCCTCCTACATTCGTGACTCCGATCCTTCATTCCACCTTAAGTTCACTTGGTACAACAGAAAGGTACTCAAAAGCAGCTTCCACAACTCCCATAAGTCCTCTCAGTTTATCGGAGATAACCACATCAGTTGTTACAGACTTTCCTGGGGTTACAGCGGAACCCCTGCCTGTACCTACAACTGAAAAGAGCCTAAATCCAAAACCACAGAACACTACAAATAACCCAACCATTTTGTCCGCCACGGGCTCTCCCACAAAATTCACTCCAACCATCCATTTAAGGGCAAACAGTACTAAAAGACCACTGGTATCCAAGCCTAAAAAGGAAAAAGAGCCAAAGACAAAAGCACCAAAAGTGAATTTGCCAAAGGAGACTGCCAAAAAGAATACTGCCAAAAAGGTGGCTGCACCAAAGGTTAATCCTAAAACAAAGATAAGCACGACACTGAAAAAGATTACACCACCCAATAAAAAAGCGAAAGATTTTAATATTGCTCCCAAAAACACAACCACTGCAAATACAACTCCAAAACAGACTACCAAAGGAAGCACGACTCCCAAAAAGACTACACCAGTCAAACCAATTTCCAAAAAGACTACCACTGTCAAGACAACTCCCAAAAAGAATACACCAGTCAAGACAGCTGTCAAAAAGACTCCCCCAGTTAAAACTGCTGCCAAAAAGACGACACCCTCCAAAAAGACTACACCCGCCAAAACGACTCCCCAAAAGAGTACAGCCATCAAAACAGCTCCCAAAAAGCCCACAATGATCAACACGACCCCTAAGAAGACAACCCCAGTCAAAGCAACTCCCAGAAAGACAATCACTGCCAAAATTACTCCTAAAAAGATTAAACCTACCAACACAACTCCCCAAATGATTGAACCAGCTATCACAACATCGGAAAAGACTATGCCAGCTCACACACCATCCAAAAAGATTGTTAAGACAACCCCAAAAAAGTCTCCTCCAGTTAGGAAGCCTCCAGAGAAAAAACACAAGCCAACTCCCAAAAAGTCTTCTAATTCAGATTTGAAAGCTATTCATCAAAGCAAAACAATAACGAGCCCGAAAAAGAAGAGTGTTCATCAAAATAACATGACAGCGCAAACGATACCTGCAACAACAGCTTCCTACTCCACAACATGGGCCACTCCAGTCACAAGCCCAGAGTCAACAAGAGAATATGCTTCTTCCACCTTTCCCTCTACCACCGGCATCTATAGTACAGCGGCAAGCCTGCCTCTGCCTGACTCAAGCGTCAACATCAAATACATTGCAAAAAACTCAACAACAATAGGTAAACCTCAGTTGTTGCCAGACGACAACTCTCACTTGGGAACCACAACTCTGAGCAATTTTGAAGATGTCACGATGCCCAGCGGGAATGTGCCTTCCACAGATGTCACAATAAGCAGCAGCGGGGATGTCGTTGCCAGCAGTGGAGCCATTCAGAGCGCCGATGCCCTGACGGTGCCCTACGGTGACGACTTGACTATGATGGTAACAACCATCAACAGTGAGAATGTGACCGATCTGGCTTCCTCGCCCTGGCTCGACCTTTCCGAGTACACCCCTGTGAATAACCCTGCCACCGCGGCAACACCAGACCCCGTCACCTCCCTTGCTGGCACGACTTTCCCACCCCAGCAAGGACTAACAGAAAACAATGAGAACAACTCCGTCGATGTCTTATACAACAGGATTACCGATGCGGACAACGGCATCTCTCAGAACAACCTGATCCCAAAGCGACGTGTCAACTTCCGGGAAAAGACCAGGAACAAACGCATTCAGGAGCTTCTGGAAGAGAAGCGAAATCTTCTCCTCAGGATGAAGAGAGCTCACGCAGGGCAATAGACCGCGCCAGTTCTCTTATAGAGACGAACACCTTTCCAGGCTGAGCTGCCACTATCGCCTTTATCGGGCCTTCAAACCACAATTGTCTGATCGCTATTGAGACAGAGCTATTGTGAATCGACAAACAGTTTCTTTGGAAAGATTTTTTTAAAAAAGCTCGATTCAGAAACTGTAGCAGAAATACATATCTAGTGTAACTAGCACTTTATAAAAGCAAACTTGTTACTCCTCCGAATCATCCACAATCGTGTTCGATAACTGTTGATAAGAACTGATGTTGGTACCAGGAGCAACAAAGTACCACCTCGAGTATACAGTATATTTGATGATACAAACCAGGACTAGATCATACCTAATGGTAAGACTAAGAACAGCTACTGCGGCACATTAACCGTGTCTCATCTTCGAGTACAACTACAATGAAACTACTGTACATATACGCTGCTCACATAATGTGAGGGATACTTCTCTTTCGGGTGAAATTTCTGGATGAACCTTTACAGGTTGACTTAAGAGACCCGCTCTAAACATTTGAATGCACATGTCCAACTGTTCAAGGCTTCATTCCTTTTTGCACATCTTGTTCTGTAAAAAGGAACTGAATGGTAAACTTCACATCCCGTGTTTGACCCAAAAATGAACCGATAAAGTTTCTGGTGTTATTAGAATCTGTATTTATAGCATCATTTTTCACAGACTAAGACCTGATCAACAGTACCGTTGTGAGGCTTCAAACTGCATGTTTGCAGAGGGAAGTGACCACTGCTTAGAGTGTTGTTAGCGGACTACAACAGAGCTACAGAGAGTGAAAGAGTCACAGAAAGGTACAGAAGTGGACGTGCATGGAAATTTTCATGGTTCTCACACAGATCTTCTCAGAACAGAAAGTTGGACAAAAAAAAGTACTTAAACACTTAACATTTGGACATCCATCCATGATCTGATCGGAATGTTCTCACGAGGGTCGCGGGCGTGCTCGAACCTATTCCAGCTGTCTGCCAGCCAAATCGCGGGGGCACACAAACATAATTTGCGCTCACAGTCACACCGAGGGACAATTTAGAGTGTCCAGTTAAACTACAGTTGCACATGTAATACGCAGGACACTAAGTCGACTTTGAGTGATTATAATGAACATAATAAATCAGATGAATTCATTTTAAAATTGCACCAGAAACCCGAATAGCCGCCCTAACCTTTATGAGCTGCGTATACATACAGATATTTTGAAAATGCTGCGCAAACATCAGCTCACATTTGAGTTCATTCATTTTAAAACTACCTGAGTTCATATTGCCTTTTCCAGACTTGCATGCATGAAGGTTTCTCATCTCTCAGGAAGATATGGACAACTGGCAAGGTATATAACACGTGGTGCTTTGTACTTCCACATGATTAAACTATTGCTGGAAAAAATTTTCAGTGGCCATGGTATGGAAAACATATATTTGAAAAGCTTGTAAATACATGCGCAGTCTCTGCTGAGTATATGTCGGCCTAGAGCAGTATTGTTCATTTGGATGAGAGAGAATCGCCACCTCCCAAAACACCCTGATTCAGGACAAAACTCCTCCAGAAGTCACTCCAGGCTACTTTAAGCATACCCCCATGAGCACGTAGAGTGCCCAATGCATTTCGCGTTATCACTCATGCAGGCAGCATTTTGGCACCAAATTGCCAAAAACCACTTTCAATTCATGCATTTCCCATACTATAAGGCGCTTTGGCGTATAAGTCGCCTATTTTAAAACTATTTTCAGAAATATATACACAACCGCATTATAAGGCGCATAGAATAGAAGATATAATAGGGGTTGCGGTTAGCCATCCACTAGATTGAGCTATGCTAAAGTGAATACAATACAATACAGTTTATATATATATATATATAAAATCGGATTATAAGGCACACTGTCGACTTTTGAGAAAATTGAATGCTTTTAAGTGCGCCTTAACAGTGCGGAAAATGTATGACGCATGATGTCGCGAAACCCAAATGCATTCGAATATCTGCCGTTTATCTGAAGCTAATGCTGGCTACACTGTTGGCTCTAATCTGTGCTAACACTGCAGCTCTTTTGCTCGGGAACTCAGGAATTTGGGGATGGAGAAACTTGGTGTAAGGTTGGTTAGCTAAATTAGTGCAGAATGACTTGCTTACTGACACATTTTAAGAAATAGGCAGTTGGCCATTGGTTGATTAACTCCACTTTTGATCAGTTTGTACAAATATTAAAAAGTCAAATTTCCATCTCCCATTTCAGTCATGAGGAGTAAAATGTGTTTTTGGCATGGTTTTTTTTTCATTTTATTATTTATATTTTGGTCAGTCAGTTATGATATTTTGTGGTCAGCGGTGCTAAAAGTGTTGTTCCTGATTTGTCATTCGATGTACAAATAATAGAGGTAATATAACATTTTCATTTTTTTTTCAAGGGTCAAATCGTCAGCTTTTCTCCATTGATGCTTTGGCGGCTGCTTTGGATTTACGCTTTCAAAGTTAAGTGATTCTTGTATTTCAAACTGGAAGCACCGACAGATTGTTCTGTACAATATCTGTACATATCAAAAAGAACTTAATGTCTAATATTTATTAAAGTTTCCTTGCCTGTGGTATTTTGCATTGTATCAGTGTTGCGTAATTCTTGTTGCTGTAAAAACTGTCTATTCATTCTTGATTTTATCCACCGCTGAAAATGTTGGCAGCAAATGTCAGTTATGTCAGTCAGCGCGTCAAAATGTGGAGAATCAACGGAGTAGTCAGTCTTTTGCATCTTTATAATGGCCATAGTTATATAAAATATCCCTAACTTCATCCAGTTTGAACATCTGATTAGCACCAGCTAATTGTTCCACTCTCCATATACAGTGTCTCCATTCATTCACCTTCCGTGCGTTCTCATACTACTTATCCTCACTCGGGTCACGGGTGTGCTGGAGCCTGTCTCTGCGGACTTTTGGGCAATAGGCAGAGAAACTAGATAAATAACCTCCATTACTGTGTTGTACTTTCACGGAATAGATGGATCTTGTGTGTGATTTTTTATTGTTATTATTATTATTTCAATAATATCAGAAGAGGATGACTGTGATTTGTCTGTAAACGGACCCAACCATTTTCATGGGTTATGTAAATGTCGTTGCTATTGTTTGCACAGCAAAGTCTGTATGGGGGAGTTTAGGAAATCAATTCTGGATGCGGGTTTTGCATAATCGCAGTTGTCCTTAGCACTACAGTGTTTTCTTTGCTGTGAGATGGCCAGATACCAACGCGAATGCGGGGTTGAAAAACAGACTTGAACTGAAAACAACACACCACTCCGAATTCATATACTTTCATTCCATTAGGCAGTGTGTTTGAGCATTAATTGTGCATATATCAATGGCATCTGATTCCTTGAAAAAAGGTTTAGCCGATTAACTCTTAAAATAATGACATCCCCTATATGCTGCCATATTGGACACTGAAGATAGGTTCCCATAAACACTGTGTCATCACGCGTGCCACAACAAGCTACTGTACATTTTGGACTTGTTTTCTGGTTTATTGTGCCATAAAAATGCTGTCTGGTTTCAACAAGTATTCCCATAAAGATAGCACTCCTAATCATCAGGTTTCATGTTCTTCCATCGAAAAAAAAAAAAACATTGCAAGCGAGAGAGAGATTTTCAGGAGCAACAACTGTCAATGCAACCAGTGAGCCTCCATTGCGGCTTCTCTGAAAACTCTACGTCCGAAAACCACAATCAGTAGTCAACAACATTCATGTGCACAAATATATGCGTGGCCAAATCATGTCCTGAAAATAGGATTTTCTTACTTATTGATATGTCTTGTTTTATGTTAGCTGCCAAGGGACTACAAATGTTAAAATTGGTTGCATGCTAACACTGGCATATCTACGCAGGTGTTGTACCATTGTTCATTTATGTGAATTGTCCCTTTCAAATTATCGACAACAATGAAATGGAAAAAAAAAAACCTCCCATGTGAAAAGATACATTTTTCACTCACCAAGACATCTCTTGCATGCACAAATAAATCATCTCTCAAACAAAAAACTTGCTCCAAAAAACTTTTCACACTCACCAAAAAAATTCTCATGCACCCAAAAAACCTCTCCATGTCAGGAAAACTCCCACTCCCACAAAAACCCTCTCTCCCACATTAAAAAAAACTGTCACACACATTAAAAAAAGTTACAAATCTTATTCCCAAAAATCCCTCTTATAATAACAACAACAGCAAAAACTCACACATTAAGAAAGCTTTTTTTTTTTGTCTAAGATAGAAGCAAAAAAAGTCGATAAAGAAAGCAGTTTTATATTTTTGTATTTGCCCTGCGATTGGCTGGCAACCGATTCAGGGTGTCCCCCGCCGACTGCCCGAAGACAGCTGGGATGTCCTTCCACTGCTATGCAGATGACTGTCAGATCTATGTCCCACTGAGCAAAAAAGACGACTTCTCATTAAGGCCACTTCTATCCTGCCTGGAAGAAATCAAAACCTGGATGGCACAAAACTTCTTGAATTTAAATGAAAAGAAGACAGAGGTGATACTGTTTGGTCCCAGTGGCCCTTGTACATCCTATCCTGTAGACTTGGGCCTCCTGTCTCCTTATCTTAAGTCAACAGTCTCAAACTTGGGCCTTAAACTGGACAGTGATTTCAAACGTGACCGGCAAATTGGTGCCGTTGTTAAATCCAGCTTCTTTCACCTTAGACAGCTGGCCAAAGTAAAACCTCTCCTCTCTCATGAACACTTTGAGACAGTAATTCATGCCTTTGTCACATCCCGGCTCGATTAC